GGATCCTCCACTTTCTTAAGAAGGAAAGCAAGAAACATGCCCTGGTTTTGTAACTGGGATGATGGAGTAGATCGGAAACTTCTGCCAGAGAGGTGTAATTTATTTTTTTTTAAACTGTTTTTAAAAGCAACCCAGATAATACACTGAACCACATTACTTGGAATTAGAAGGCAGTTTAAAAATAAAAGTTTTCTGATAGTGAAAACAATTTCTGCTAGAGAAAGACTCTGGTTTGCACCACCATCTCAGAGGCAAGGTTTTCTTCCACTGCACATCCCTCTTCTTGTTGTTCTCCTTAGTTCTTCTCTCCTGCTCCCCAGGCAGGGCCTGCCTTTCCTGAGCAAATCCCCCCTTAAAGTTCCCTTCTCAGGAAAATCGTACCAATATTAAGCCATTCTTAAAAGCCTGTACCTCTCTATCACATAAAAAGAAGAGAGCTAGACAGACTGTTCTTGCAGCCTTTTCACAGCATTGCACTTTTTTTCTGATTGCCATATAAAGCTGACTGTCGTCTGTTACCCTTCAGCACCCCCAGATTATCCGTTCTGGTTTCGCAGAGCAGCACAACAGCATCCAGCCCACGACCACGACTTCCTTGGCACCACCACCGCTACCAGCTCTTTCCTCAGCGCTCCAATCTGCTCTGGGCAGCAATGGGATTAAAATGCTGCATTCCTGGACCCACCTCACCCCCAGTCCTGGTTCCCAGTCATGTTGATGTCTCTGTATTGCAGGAAAGTCTTCAAAATTCAATCACTTTATTTTATTGGGCATTGTAATTGTGGCATGAGAGTGTTGTCTCCATAGTGCTCTAAGGTGATAGTGTTTTATCCTACCTGGGTTAAGATGTTGGCTAAATGGCTGGTAGAATCATAGAATCGTTTAGGTTGGAAAAGACCTTTAAGCTCGTCAAGTCCAACCGTTAACCTAACACTGCCATTCCACCACTAAACCTTGTTATGCTGCAACTAGAAAGGCTTTTTTGCACTACCTGGACAAGCATCCCAAACAGCTATTTAATTGGTATAGTAGTGATAATAATCCTCTTTGTGCTAAATTCCATTTTATTGTTTAGCAGACATTGGGAATGCCACATTTAGAAGAATATGTGAAATCCTTGCAAAGGAGAGACTTCAAAAATGTTTAACAATTGAAGCATGGCAGTCTCCTTCAAAACTAGGACAGCTTAAAACTTCACAGGGAAAAGCGTTTCATTGCAAGCCACCACCAGTATCTCTGGTGCAATGGAATCAAAGGAATGTGTGAAAAAGATGTTACCAGTTTGCAGACCACAATGCAGTGATCAATGTGGACTGCCAGAAAAAGGCAAAAAGGTTTCTTTGCTACTAGTAAACAATCTTACCTGCAAACACAGGAACTGTGATAATTTCCAGAATTATTCTACAGGAAAAAAACCCCAAACAAACCAATCATAAAGATGGAGAAAGACAAGAACAAAAATCAGTAGCAGAATAACAGAAGAGTACTTAGTGATGAAGAGCTATCATTATCAGCTGGAGTCAAGAGAAGATGAATGCCAAAAGATGGTAGCTTTTATGTACCTAAGCTATCAAAGGGGATGGGTGTTACACCTGGCTCCTATGAGACAGGGTCACAGGAAAAGCGACTGCAAAACATTGGCATCAAACCCAAAATGATTACTTGTGAAACCAGAAGACACAGGAGATCAGAAACAAAAAATGGGAAAGGTAAAGAGTCTTCATTCAGGATTCTCCTGGAAATCAAAACTGGGTGAGAGAAGATGAAGCCAAATGGGAAAGTAAAATTAAAAGACGGGAACATGTTGACTATAAAATTTCATTTACATCCAGGATTAGGATCCAACAAGCTGAACAGCTGGAATAGAAAATCAGTCACCAGTGCAAAGAATTGCTGAATGAAATCCTGAGAAAACTGACAGTGGCTTTGAAAATACAACTGATGAAAGCAAAAAGAAAAATAAAGCAGGTATCTTGTGCAATCACCAATAGGCACACTAATGCTTGTGAAGAAAAAATTATTTACTCCAAACGCATTGCTCTGCATGTTGTGACAAGCAGCCATCACCTGGGAGGAAAACCACAGGAAGTGCTGTTATTATAACAAATAGTGTTAGATGCTAGAAAATTGTCAGAAGTCTGCAGTGTCTCAGCAGTGGATGATTATCATCCTTCCCACCATATTTCTGACATAAGAAGGATGAAGGTCCAAAGGCAGAAGTCCTAAAGAACAAAGCCACCTTACCTCTGTCCTCATCCCCTGAGACTGTAAAAAGTCTCTCTCTCTTATTTTCAATCCTGAATTGTGGAATTTATTTCCCACAGAGGGAAATGAAGGTGATATGATGGAGGCCAAGAGACATTTAAAACAGGAAAGAAATACAAATTCTTCTTCAGGTCTCACTAATGAGGCAGGAGTGGTAAAGAACTCAGAAGAAAAAAATCCTAGCATTGAATGGGGTAGAGAGTGAAGTCTAGTTTTTGAAAATACAGCACAATACTTCAGCCGAAGCCAGGAATGCAAAATCCAGAGAAAAAATGTAACTATAGTAGCAATGTCAAGGATTTGGGAAGCACATGAAAACATTCACAAGGAGGCCTGCCTGTTCTAAATCCTGTAATTCTATGGCTATGGCCCAGGTTTCTGCAAAGAATGGTACAATTTCACCACAAATGAACAGTGTTCCCTGTTAGAGTTGCCAAGTTTATACCTGAGTATTCTGGTTAACTGGCAGTTAACTAGAAACACAGAGAAGAAATTGATACTGCAGACAACCTGAACAGGACCGATAACACTGGAGAAGATGGAACAAAGCTAGAGAAAAGAGAAAATACAATGCCACTCAAGGAAAATGAATTGAAGCTGAAAACATTTTTCAGACACACAAATAATCTCCGATACCAAAACAGAAAATCTGTTACAAATTTTGGATAATGTGAAGAGCAAAGAATACTGACACTATAAAAGATGTGCCAAGTTACACCTAGTACAGCCAGTATCCTCAATCCTAGAGAAAATGGAAATATATTACTGGGCAGTGATGCCAGCCTTCAGATTAACAGCACTGTGCATAGAGAAGACATGCAGGATTTGCAAGACTTTAAAACCAGTCAACCTTATCAAGACAACCATGAACTCAAAGAAGCTGAAATGCCGCTGGAAGAACACGAAGAAGCTTTGTTACCAGAATTAGGAAATGGCAGTTTTGAGGCAGAAAATGAGGTGCCTTTAATTCTTTGCAGAACAAATGAAGCTGAAAACTCCACTACAAAAGCTATATTGTACCCACCATCTGCAGAATATGCTAATGCATCACCTTTGGAGGCAAAAGAAAATGAGGAAAAACCCCATCACGACAGTGCTCTTTTTCTTTCTTCAAATCTACAGACAAACTGCTCCAGCTTTCCTGAAAGTTATTAGCATCATTGTGGTGGGAAATTTCGGCAAGTCCAAAAACATAAAATAGTTTTTGATTAAAGTATTGGAAAAAATTAACGGTAATTCAGCTCAAGTAATTTTACTCAATTAACTGAATAGCGTTTTTTGTAATGGGAAGACTCAGACAGGAACCACATCTGGTTGTGTCAGAGCCAAACAGAACAACAGAATATAAGCGAGAGGAAGACAAACCAGGAAACATTCACTGACCAGAGGAGCCAGTGGTGCTTATGACCTGGAACACATAGCATGAATTTAATTTAATGTAAAAATTTACATTTACAGTTCCTGAAACCATGTCTGCTCTCTGTAATGTACCAGTTGCGATACCTAAAATATTTCTGTGCTTAGCTTATTACTGTTTGCTTGATGGAAAGTACAAAATCTTTTTTTTAATACCTGTACCTATTAAATTCTATCTTAAATTCACATCATTCACAAAGTTTTCTGGTCATCTTTCCCTCATAAAGCACAGGTACCTGCTAAGTTCCTTGTGGTAAGGACTGATGTTTGGCTTTCTCCAGGACAGGTGCTCTTCCATTCACAGCCTGGTAGACTGCATTTAAGATCCCTGGGTGGCAATCCCATAACCAGTCACTGCATGCTTGCCAAACGGTTAGCTAGAGCTGCTGCTCAGAAACTAAATTTTAACATGGAAAGAGTTCTGAGCAGATCCAAAATATTCTTAACTCTTTATTTCCTTAACTTCCTTTCCTTAACTTTAAACTGTGGGTTTGAAAATTTATCACTAAAAGATCACCTTATGAGGACTAGTCTCTTGGACCAGGCAATGTGTCCTCATTGGTCTTATCTACTCTGCATCTGAGAGGAGAAAAATGGCTTTAAAAGCAAGAAACACAGCGGTAAGTAAATATATATAATTGGTTTTTCATGGAAGGCAAATACACAAGATCAGTATGCAGTTTATCTTATAGCAGCTTAAGAAAAAACCCCACAGAACAGTGAGAAGTTTTGGGTATTATGAACGGAGAGCAGCTGCCATGAAGAAGAAAGAGGCCCCAGACTGATCCCTATTTCTCTCAGAAACAGGACTTCTCATAGCTTCTGACTGTGTGTCCTATGCCCAACTGTTCCCAGAACAGGGACTGTAGCAACATGCCAGAAATGCCAGGAATAGCCTCAGGACATGGTATAAAAGTAGTCAGACATTTATACACTTCCAGGGTATCTTGGCTCCTCTTTGTGATGATACAGATTTTATTTTTCACACAGAGAAATCAAGAACTCATAGAAAATACCTACAAAAGTCAGAGCAGCATGTTTTTCTACTCACTCAATAATAACTCGTTATATTCAAAGTTACATAATTTCTTAAAGTTTCATTGAATGGCTAAATGTTAATTTACTTTCCTCCTCAATTTGCCAACTCTTCTGTATTTCTTGACATACACCATGATCTTTCTCAGGGCTTTCTGTAATGGCCCTTGCCTTGGAAACTGGGGCTTTTGAGGAAGCCATATGAAGTCAGACAGATAGTTGGCCAAAGCAGAAATACCCATTTTCCTGCTGCCTTTCTGGCTGTGTGAGGCAGGGGCACTCACCTCGGGACAGGCATTCCAGCCCCTCATCAGCAGGGCAGAGATGGGCTTCGGGATGGAGTACCCGATGGGAGGGCGGATGTGGTGGTACGCCATGTCTGCCGCCGCTGCTGCTGCAAGCAAACAGCCCGACAGAAACCTGTTAGCACCCAGCAAGCACACATGTTCCCAGGAAAACACAACCTATGTACTACTGAAATACACTCCAGCAGGTACAGAAATGCTGAACCATCAAACCTGTAGACAAAGGCTTGTAGCTTAAAAGAGACCTTCCAATCCATACTGTTTGTAAGGCAGTCCATAACCCTGAATGGAAACACATTGTTGTTTAGACTGAGCATCGGTGAAGGCAATGTAATTTAGCTTAAACCCTAAAAAAAAAAAAAGAAAAGGCCTTTGGGGGAAAAAAAAGAGTTAACCTTCAACTCACTTTCTAAAAAATTTATTATCTTCATTATTAAGACAGGGTGACAGGTATACTCCAGTGGCAGATAAATTGGTAACAGACTCAGATATCTTAAAATAACCCATGGCTAGTTCTGTTACAGTCCAAGACAGAAATTATTTCTAAGTGTTTCTTTAGTAAAAATTAAGATAGCGATGAAAAACGCTCAATTTTTTTCTGCCAAAGGTAGTGTATGTGATATATTACCTATTGGCAAAATCTTCTCTTACCAAAGTTAATAGGATTTATTCCATCAGTTTAATGGGGTCAGGATTAGAAAAAGAAATGGAGAAACATACTCTGTGCCTCTGGATACTTCTATAATACTTTACAAAGTTTTTTTGTGTCACTATTGTTTGAGCTCTCCTTTCACTGTCAGTAGGCTTTTCTTCAGGTAAAAAAAAAAATCTATTAAAAGTACTTTAGAACAGCTAAATTAAATGTCAAGAATCCATTCTTCTCAAAAATGAGCAAAACAAAAAAGAGTTTGGGTGGTCCCCAAAACTCTGAACTTAGTGATGCTTTCCAGCTCTACTATGTGATATCCTTGAACCTCTGAGTATTTTCTAGTTTGACTGCTTGGTCAGATCCTGCCTTTCTTCTGGGTCAGAGGAACTACAGGCCATGAGAGGAATCAATAGCAACCTATCTACAAAATGTTATTTCAATTTGTTCTTGTTTATGGATTGGGGAACAACTAGTAGTTACTGCAGGATGTTAATCAACATCTCCTACACTGGTGATGTGTATGTTTATAATCATAACATGCCATTTCTTTGTGCAAGTGCCATCTTTGCATTTTTTTTTTTTGCTATGTGGGATGCAGTGATTCGGTTTCTGAATCTAGTTTCATACCTGTAATTTCCAGACTTCTATGTCCCTGTGTTTCCCCACAAAATGCTACCCAAAGCTCACATGCTGACAGTTTTACAGGTGTGAATTGAATGCCATCTGTGGAAAACAGCTAAGAGGATCTTCAGATATCAGAGGGCATCCCCTTGCCCCCTGGGCCTTCCAAAATGTCTTTCAAATGGAAGATTGTACACCAGGTAACTGCCAACATCTAGTTCCACATGAAGACTATGCCTAGAGCACTGAAGGATGCCTTTGCAGTCATGCCTTGTACAAGCATACATGAGATATACATAATACATGAATAGAGAACTGAGCCACAGTTCTCAGGAAAACAGGATGGGATTGGCCTGGGAAGCATTCAAGGGTTTCTAACTCAATGACAGACCCAGTCATCTCAACTACAGCTCAAGCAAGTGGGCAACAAACACATCAACGCACCTGCTGAAGAACCTGCATCCCAGCCACACAATCCCCAAAGGAAAGTAGTGACAACAAAGACAAAGATCAAACACATCACCCACCCGAACTGACCTGTAAAACCACTCTCCCTTTGCTTACCTAAGCACAGCCCTGCTGAGGTGGTGCAGTGTTTGTGAAATACAGCCCTTGTGCCTTCTGCGCATGAATATTTGTGCTTCATGTTCACACAGTCTCAGCCTGCTTATGAATCTCAAATGTTTCCTAGACTGGCTACAAACCTGAATGGCACTTGAGGTGGAGCCTGGGCCTTAATAATATAATAATGTGATAATGACACAATTAATTATCAACTGGTTGCCTACTTGCTGTATTTTAAGTGTATGCAAGCTCTCAGACTGTAAAAACCTCAGCAAAGAAGTGATCTCTATATTCAATAAATATTAAGTTTTGCATTCTCCAGTTACTTCTCAGAACCATCATTCTTTATGTTTTTGGTTTTTTTTTCACCTTGTCTATTTTACAGGTGATTGTTGAGCACATTTAATAGGTTTCCTTATTAACCAGGAGACATGCTGCAGGCTGTGGTTCCATAGGAGTGCATGATGTGGACCTAACAAGCATTATGTTTGACTTAATGATGAAGTGATTTAACTGGGGAACCCACCTGTTCTAACAGATGTTCTATTTGATAAATTAAGTAGTGACTTTGATTCAATACCTATAAAAATGTTTATTCATATTCATCAAATAGAAATCTGATTAATGGATATCTTGTTCAGCATAGAGCATACTCTAATATAATTGGATACTGTACTAGAGTCAGTGGAGAACATGAAATTGCTTTTGATGGGGTGACTACTTTTATTTCAATGGGAGACATCTAGTTTTTGTTATAATCAAATTTTATAATCATATATTCTTTTAAACACTAATTATTTCAATGAACTTCACCAGAATGACTTCCTGGACCTCTAAGCCTGCTCAGAGGTAACTATAAACCAGAAAAATAGTCTGTGATGCATAATGGGAGTTAGTGTTCTGCAGACAACATACAAAATTTTGATAAAGAAGATCCCTCACCTTGAAATACGTACTTTGGAAAAATACGGGTTTTGTATTTAACTGAAGAGTCATTATTTGAACATATATCTTAAAAGTAGGACTTTTATAAAGACTGTAAAATATACAACACCCTCAAAACCACTTTTTGCAGAATATATATAAATCAGAAGTGCACATTCAAGATCTTTTTTTCGTGTGTAAATATATCTTTTACAGTTTGAGGTACCACAGAGACTAGGAACTAGTTGTAAACCATGACTGTTGCATCTGAAAAATCACCTGCTTTGTGACCTTGTACAAAATCTCAGTTTCCTTATCCACAGAAGGGGGAAAATTACACTTAGGCCACTGATAGGGCCAAAATTAGGTACTAGGTGGGCTCACTTTAAGGACAGCAGACCTGGATCAAACCTGAGCATTTTGGGAAAACTGCATCCCTACGTTTGTGGGCACAAACATGGTCTTTGGAAAATGTGTTTTATAATAGGATTCAAATAAAGTGTTGGTGATCTGGAGATAAGGAAGGACTCATCACTACAGCGGTGGACAAGGAAAGAACCCTTCCCTAGGCATAGTGTCTCACTAAAGAAAGAAGGGACAGAAAAATGCTTCCCTTTAAAGCTGCAGACACAAAAAGCCAGCAAGCCCATGGAAGTCAGGATAAAGGGACCTTAACATTCAGTTGATGTCATAGGTTAAAAAAAGAAAAGGGGGAGGGGGCAGGAGAGAAACACTACTCCTATACCTTTTTTGATGCCTTTTATTTAATTTATGATGGTCCCAGTGAGCTTTAACTCCTCTTGAGTCTTCTAGTCCTATCTAGATCATAATTTGAACAGAGTAAAATGGTTAATTCAGAATTAACCGAGATTAATGTTAGAAACGGTAACCTTATAGAAGGCTTTGATAATATAGATGATGGTGTGCTAGAACTGGACCCAGGAGTGTAAGGTTTGGTCTTCGGTTAAATAGCCATGAAACAAGGACTAGTGGAAAAGGAACACAAACACAAAAATGATTCAGAACTGAAACTCAGGTTCACAGCTAAAGGTATTTTATTTCCAGAACCTGAAGTGGAATTGAGTCAGACATTTGGCTTCTGCATCACTTCAGCAGTTAGAAATAAAGAGACATGAAAACCAGCTAATACAGTGTAGAAGGTAATATACAAAGCTGGCACACTAATTTCCAATGATATTCATGACATCTGCCTTTTGCATGCAGAGAGGCTGACCTTCTGAACACCACAAAGGCATCCAAAGGAGTTTAATGGAGGAATAATCTCAAAATAGCAGAAAAGTGAATCTTTATTTAATGATTCCCCCAGCAGAAACAAAAAAACAAACCAAGGAAGGATTCAATAAATAAAACTTGGCATGTATCAAAAATTACTTTGAAATGATAAGAGCAACAACCTAATGAGAAAAATACATTAGATTTCATTTAGTATTTGAGTAATTTATAAAGCAATTGACCTGATAAGTGACAAGCATATTGATAGACACCTAAGAAACAGCATTAGACATACAGATATATACAGACACATAGATGTTTGACCACCAAAGGACTATACATTGTTACCAATATGTATATTCTACTTGGGCATAAATGGAGCCAGACTCTTTGCAGTGGTGCCCAGCAACAGGACAAGGGGCAATGGACACAAACTGAAGCATAAGAGGTTTCAGCTCAATATGAGGAAAGACTTCTTTACTTTGAGGGTGACAGAGCACTGGAACAGGCTGCCCAGGGGGCTTGTGGAGCCTCCTTCTCTGGAGATATTCAAAGCCCTCCTGGATGATGTCCTGTGCAACCTGCTCTAGGTGAACCTGCTTTAGCAGGAGGGTTGGACTAGATGATCTCCCGAGGTCCCTTCCAAACCTTCCCATTCTGTGATTTGTATGAACTAAGAGAAATTCACCTTTTTCAAGATCAAAGTGCTGCCATAGGCCATGCTTTCTCCAAACATCAGAAAATCTATACGAAATCAATCTGTCAAACTTTGCACATCTCTTCCCTCAGCAACTGTTATCTTTGTATCCCAAACCAAGTTGAAACACCACAAAAGATCCTCCGTGCTTCACAGCCATTTCAGCTGCGGGAGTGAAATGCATCAGTAAGGCTCCTCCAGATGGTCTCCTGTGTGGAGACAGCTGCACAACAGCATGGCCACAGATCCACCTCTGTCTGACCACAGGATGACAGACTGTGGTGGGTGGTGTTGACGGCATGGGGGGTTCCAAACCCTCTCTCATTACCCATGCTGGCTCTTACCTCATCCTGTGGCACTCTCCACCTTTAACAATCCCTGGCAGACATCAAGGGGTCAAAATCTCAGGGAGTGCAAAGAATAGTCCTGGACATGTTGATTTGCTGTTCTACCCCACCACCTTTGCAGGTGCTTTCTGAAGCTATACAAGAATAGGATCAAGGAGGAGATGTATCAAGGAATGGTTTTACAATACCAACACCAATGTGAGAGACAAAAGGCCTACAATTAGAGGGATTCTTCATAATCCTAGAACTGGATAAGGAATTTTAAGTTATGTAGATCTGTAGTGAGTAATATAAGCAATTATAGTGGGATAGTTCTATGCTTTTCACTTAATGCATAATCTTAGCATTTAATAACAAACCAGTAAAATATTGGTTAATATCATACAGCTACTTCTCTAGTTCAGAGAAATTTAAATATTTATTCATTGAGCATCTTACCTGGTTTCAGGTGAGCAAATGGGATTTCCCCTGTTAACAGCTCCCAGAGGCACAAAGCATAGCTGAAAACATCGGCTTTTATAGTGTACCTTGTACACTGGGTGAACACCTCAGGGGCCATCCAGCGTAGGTTCTGTGCATCAAGAATCATCAATAATACATTAACATTGTTTACTTCCTCATATACGCACCCTTTCCTGTATTTGTATGTTTACTTTCTTTTCTTACTTCCTTGCTTCTGTTGTTCCATAAAATGACTGGTAAATTTGCCAGAAAAAAATTTTCACATAGCTTGCAAAATCTAGGCAACATGTTATTGCACATTTCATATAACGGCATTAATATGGTAGCTGTCTCAACCCCATAAAGCCAGACAGATCAGGCTTTAAACATGAAAGTCGTGTTAAAATAAAAGCAGAACACCCAGCCTCAAAGTCTGGTGATCACATCATAAGGTCTGAGCATGCCATATAATACCAATTAACTACTACTACAGCTGGTAGATGGAAAAAACTGATCACAACTGCATTGGGTTGGTGCCTTCTCTCTTGGGATCCGACCCTTTCTGCAAAAGTCCAGTTCTGAGGCTGCTTCACAAGCAACCAGCCTCTCACTGGAGTGATGAGTTTGGGGTGTTTTTGCAGATTCCTTGCACCTCAGTCACTTAATCTACATTCTTTACAAGACAGCCCTTCTCCATGAGGTGTCATTAAACCCTGGCAGGACCCAGGTCTGCAGCAGCAGTACTCACTCCTCACACAGAGAGTGTGTATTACAAGTTGTTAAAAAGCTGATTGCCAAACACTGGTTTTAGCATCACCCATCCTATTCCAGAATCAGTCATTATGATGATGCAAACTTTTATGAACGTGGAGTGACACACAGAATGCACCTGGACTAAAACTCACAACAATACTTTCTTGTAAAGCTGACTCTCTTTGAGCAATAGGCTTGTAATGGAGGAAAGAATTCTAAAAGAAAATCAGTGTTGAATACTAATTCCCCATTAGAAATAGGAACCACCTGCCAGCAACATGTGTATGTGAGTGGGGGAGGGTGGATTAAAAAATGACACTTTAATGAGGATTTTAGGGGCAATAGAGCTCCAAAGACAACCTTATAAAGCATTATTTTCTGTTGCAGATATTAGATATTCACTCATCTGTGCTATTAAAGAGGCTTAAAAGAGAAAAAAAAAAACCACAAAGAAACATTAAGAGAGATAAAATATTATACCAGTTCTTCTTTTCCAACAAAAATACTTCTGATGTCATTTTCTCCTAAACTGAGTTTGTCTGTATGTTTTATACTAATTATGTGGAACATAACAAGAAACAAACCCCAGGTTGTTTTGTCATATTGTCTTCATCCAGGGATTGCAAAAATCTAGATTCTGAAACACACAGAACAACAACAACAAGTTAATGTCAAGCCAATGCAGACACCCACCTTATTATACAAAAGTCTTGGTACGAAGTATTGCTTGTTTGGTTGTTTTTTTAAAATAACTCTGGGGTTTTGAGAGTCCAGAGGAACTGTGATAGCTGTTTTTCAACACGGATTTGTACAAACAATGAGGCTTCCGAAACCTGCATGCCAAATTCAGCACTGGCATAAATCTACAAAGCTCCATTGACATTAATAGCACTTTACCACAGCTGAGGATCCAGATCAGAATTTGTGACCTCATGGTTATTTGTGCTGGTTGATATAACTGTATCTAGATTTACAACAGTCACTGAGCCTTGCATTAAAATGCAATCCCACAGAAGCCTGTCAGTCTTATTCAATGTCAGAAAAGCAGCCCACCTAAAAATGACAAGATCTTGCATGAATGTAGTGAAGGTGGCATATGCTACATCTTGTGATACACAAATACGTCCTCAAGCAGGACTTAGATGCCTTTGACATATCAGAAAAATACACTTAAGTGTGCATCTGTATGAATAAGAGTATTGTCAGCAATGCCCCAGACAAGCGGGTACTCCCACGTGGTCCAAGCCTTGTGGCATCTCCTTCCTTCAGCAGGCTGGGGCAGCACTGGGTCCCTCACAGTCATGCTGCCACCACTCTCATGTTAAGCTGATGTTCATGCAACTGTACTGATCACATCTCTGGTGATATGGCACAATGATAATGGCCATGTCTTAAGTCAAGTAGTTCCTGAGGAGTTAGGTCAAACCCAGCTCTCTAAACTCTGCCCTTGTACCAACAAGAATTTATTCCTGTGGAGCTTGACTGCTAAACACCAAGACAATGCATGAAATACAGATTCATAAAGTATAGCCTAGGCTAATTTTTAACAGAAAGTTACTAAGATCCATAACTGAAATAACAAGCTACATTCTGCTCTTATAACTAAAATGGAAGAAACCTGTCCTACTGCTAGAACTTACTCAAACTGAGATGCATCCATCTCACTATCATCTGAGCTTCCCTCTCAAATAAACAGTGGAGTACTGCACAGCACCTAACTTAGATGAGACAAAAAATAGGGGTATTCTCATCCCTAAAAGCCTTTTGTGTCCTCTTATAATAACAAAATGAAGAGCAACCTCCTCATCATATTATTAGTCAACACATGTTTAGTTTTGGAGAATTTGAGGTTAATTTATAAATGTTTCATAAAATCTCCTTACCTCCAAAATCAGCAACAACTGCATGACCATCCTCATATAGGAGAATATTATGACTGGGAGAAAAGAAAAAAAATATAGGTAATTGTTTAATAGTGTCTTAAAGATGGTGAAAATTTTACAGGTTTTGGTTCACAGCTAAACTCTTGAGTTCAAATCATCTGCTTAAGTAGATAAACGTCTATAGATAAATCACTTTTAGCTACATCTCAAATTTATTTTTACAAAGTACACATCAACTCTGAGAAGGCTATCAACTCTTCATAACTGAGAATGTCAGTTTCTAATCAATAGTAGAACAAAACAATTTCTGTAATTAGTTATAATCAAGTATAACAGCTTTATTCAATATGTGCACTGAATTGCAGTGATAAAGTGAAAAAGATGATATTTGAATATAAACACAGTGATGGCCTTTAAACAAAATCACATGGACTGATTCTTTTCTCTTTTAAGGCTTGCATAATTGTAAATTCATAGTGGTAATTCCTAATCTATGCCAATGTATAGAAAGGAAGGAACAGATCTGAAGAATCTATATAGAATGGATCACTAGAAGCCATAAGAAATCCATCAAGCTGGGGGGAAAGAAAAAAAGATGACACAATGGTAAGTCCTATTCAATTTTATAACCACACTTAATAGCACAAATGTTACTTTCATGAGACTTCATGTTGCTTAAAATATCTCCATTTATTTATGTAAAGAAGATGCACCATTCATCCTGTGACTTATCTCAGTGTCTAGGATGAAAGCTTCTCCCTGCTCGCACTGATGGAGATTTGTCAGTCGCTAGAGGTAAGATTTCAGTTCTGTCCTCCATTCGTGTTCCAGTTCTAGTGTCCCTTTTTATGACTTTAGCCTTTGAGAGCCAGCAGAGTACAACTGATGACATGTGCTAAGTTACTTTGGGCCTGAACTGAGTCTCAGGTAAAGCACCCGATTTCCATCTGCTTAATAAGTCAGGAGCACTGACATTTTTTTAGTGTTTCACCTTATTGTCAGTGATAAGCATATTCCTTGTTGTTACTTGATGAAAATAATGGCAAGTATAAAGTATTGTTCATTATTGGACACCAAAAGGACCACATTTTGCATTTATCCTTAAAAATTACACCTGCAAAAATTACAGTGCATTTTGTTGTAGTGGAACCTCTTGGTGGCATCTCCTTCCAAAGCTCCCTAGGCAAACCAGTCCATATGATGGAATTAGCATCCCTGGAGCCTGTAGGTTGCAACTATGAATGGTAGCAAGGAAAAATTTGAGGTGATGGCTGGTGCATTGTGGAGAGTGGGGCCCACATGGCTCAGGACTGTGCCTGGAGCTGTGGTTTCACCAAGCAGGATTTCATGGGCAGGAACACTGTGCAGCCCAACACTTCTGGGAAATGCTAGAGTTACCGTGTGAGGGCTTCAGAGCTGCACTGTGTCTTTTCCCTGCCTCTGCTCACCCCAACTACAGGTGCTACAGCTAGAACTGCCTGCACACCATGGAAAATGCCCCGGATTTAAGGTGTACTGCAGCTGGGGTGAGGCTCACGTTCACATCTTCTAACTGAACGGCAGACAAGAAGAAATCCCAAAGAAAATTCATGTTAGACATACATGTTAGATTTTTATTTCAATATAAAGTCTTCATCTTTGCCCCATACAGGTTCCGGAAAAAGAGTTACATACAGCTAGGAAGAAAGGAAAAATGCAGGAAAATTCTTGTTTGGTCAGCACATGTACGGGGCAATCTCTGTCAGGATGTCTAGAGATCAGAGAAATCATTTATCAAAGATAATTACTTGTACTGACACCTATCAAAGTCGTTTGGTTTCTGTGAAATCTTTGAAACCATAGCAACTGCAGGCCTCAGTGAATGTAAAGGAGTGGATAACCAGAACTTTACCTTCGATTGTCAGCAAAGGTATTTGGAGGCTTAAAGTTAAATCTACTGGATTTGTTCTAAAACTACTAGAACCAAAGAGGTGAATTATGAGATTTGTGTGGTGGTTTAAACCCACTTATTGAAGGTAATATGAAGAAAATTCAACCTTATTTACATATTATTTGTTCAAAGACAGTAGATATGGATAACATCTAGGAGGAAATCTAGCCCTACATATACATACTTTCTATTAATTAGAGGATTTAAAAAAATAGGCTCCCAAGTATGAACAAAACAACTATTAAAAGATTTCTACATAAGACACTAAATATTTCATATCCATTTTGTAAAAGTGTCATCTTGTGAGCAGGTAGGCAGGAGAGCTCAAAACCAAACCAAACCAAACCAAACCAAACCAAAGTATTTCTGACACTGAAACTGTGAAAAGGAAGATATTCAGATTAGACAAGAACCAAATGGGCATCTATTACACATTTTCACCCTGATAGCTTCAAATAAGAGAAAAAAAGTAACACTACCCTTGGAAAACAATGAATTCTCATTTGGGGGGACTTTATTCTTGGACTTGGGCTGAACAGATAAAAGACTAGATGACACAAGTGAGAAAATTATCAACTCCTGATCAAATGTACGTGAACAAGACAGAAGTTCCTAGCCTTGCAAGCAGAATATCTGCTCTGGAGGGATGCTCAACCTCAACTCATTAGCCCTCCTTAGGGGCCTGGATAAGTCTTCTGGGCAGACTGCCGTGACAACATACCTATGTTTTTAGCTCAGGGTTGGTATTCTCATGCAGAAGTATAGGTATGAGTTTGGTACGGCTTTACCAGCTCACCTGCAACTTGCTCAGGAATCTTTCACATGGGGTTGGCATTTGGAAATGCCTTCTGTTGACTTGGAAATTAATGTTTGAAACAATATGTGCTGAAACAAAATAAAATATTGAGGGTGAGCCTCCATAAACTTTACTGCTTAAGCAGAATTGAAATAAGAAGAAATTCTGGCTGTGTAGGAACTTATGGAAGGAAAACCCCGTCCCTATGTATTTGGCATTTCCAGGGAGACTTCAGTTGATTAGTATATCAGGGGACTTGGAACCAGTCCCAGCATGAATGGGTCTCTGTCTATACATACATCGACTGTTGGAGAATATCAGCATATAGAGCCATGACGTTATTCCAACCCATGCAGTGGAGAAGCCAATATACGCGCTGTGCTCCAAGGTGGTTGGCATTTACACTGAGTACTCAACTTATGTTTTCAATGAGGAGGGAAGAATTTCTTCCTCAGAGCAATATGTAGAGCTAAAACATAGGGCTCCTCTAAAGTCACTGCAATTATTGCACCTTGATTGAAACTCATGGATCAAGAGCCTCACTTCTCCAGCATCACCTGGTGATTGGATGGCCATTGCCTACAGAACGATCTGTCTGGTTTTCTGCGGTTCAGGGGTCTGCCTAGAGGATGGGCTTTGGAGAAAGAGAGTGTGCCAGCATGTGTAGCACAAACATCAGCTCCATCAAAGGAGGAAAAACAGGGTTGGGCTGAATTTTATCCATATTTAAGAGCAGAGATTCTGAGACCCTGCAGACTGCATTCAAGTTAGAAACAGTGTTGTAAAGGTGCCCATAGGTAGGGTTGTAGTGTACACTGGGAACACTTTGGATTCTCTGCCTGTCCAGGCACCGCTGGACTCTCTGTTCTCTGAGACTTTAATTCTCTTTTCATTTGATAATGGTGATGTCTAACCCTAAAAGAAGAAGACACTGTATTCTCCCTGAAGCTATCTATGCACTACAGATATTTAAGCAAGTGACTTCCAAGCTCTTGGTTCTGGCTCCCTGATGAACGTTGTACAGGAAAAGATTCAGAGCTATAGGGCCAGCTCAAACTTACTTCCCTCCAAAAAGAATACAGTAAAACTCTTGTTCAGAGATATCTCACTCCCTAGTAGTTACTAAAAGGATATTGCCAAGAACTCAAATAGCTGTAATGTAATCTCTTGTCTCTGCCATACCCCGTAGTTTGAGAGTAAACAAGTAGCCATCAAATTAAGCATACAACATCAGTTTATAACAAATTGAACTTAACCTTTCCAGCTATGCCTCAGCTCTTAGTTATCATTTTGCAATTTCATTGAGAAAAAAACCCCAAACTAAAAAAAAATAAAAAATTTAATTTCTTAAACAAGCAGCAACTGATAACTGAAATTTACAGAAGAGTTTCAAAGTGAATGTCTCATTACAGTCAGGTTTTTATGTCATCTTTATCTCTGCAGTATACCTCATCTCTCACTATTTCTCTTTCTAAGAAAAATGTGTGAGAATTGCACAGATGATTTTCTATAACCACGTGATGGAACAGATAACAACCTGCTCCTTGCTGCATCATTTTTTAAGATCACATTGACAGGAGAGAGCAGAACCAGTTCTATGCTGCTTTTCACAGGACGAACAACAAACACCGGCCCTCACACGCCTCTGAGCAGCTGCAGGGCTCACCCTCGGCCATCACTCCTTGGCAGCCAGTGGCAGCAGCGTGATCGCTCCCTCCTCTTCCGGGCCACATCCCTGGGGCTGCCACCGGCCTTTGGGGGCCCC